GGAATCGAACTCATGCTGAAGTGGCTTTAGCTTCTCAGTGCTGTGCTTTAACCCGCTGCGCCACCAGGAAGGGCCTACAATGTTTTAATTGAAAAAAAAAGTTAACAATTATCAAGTGTAAATGGTTCAGATTTCCTCTGTGAGATCTACTGCAGAGAAAGAGTCTATGAAACACAGATTTACATCAGAGGGGCTGATGAAAAAAGAAACTGCAACCACCCTATAACTTAACTCCCAAACAAATAAAATGATCATATTCTTGGACTCAGGCAATGCAGTTGTCCATTACACTCCTTCCCCTATTGTTAGCTTTGCTTCTACTGTCAGATTTCTAGGTTTTGTTATTGGTTTGGCTTTATCTGACCCTTTATTTTACTTCTCTATATTCCACATATAAGTAACACCATACATTAGTTGTCTTTCTCCTTCTGGCTTATTTTGCTTATTATAATCCATTCCAGTTCTTTCCATATTGTCACAGATCCAAGATTTTACCTTTTTATAGTTAAGTAGTTATTGTGTACATATACCACATTTTCCTGGTAAAATCTATTTGGGGGCATCTGGTTATTTTCCATAGTCTGGCTAATGTAAATGGTGCTGTCATGAATATTGGGATGCATACTTTCCTTCAAATTAGTGTTTTTTATTTTTTTAGTAGATGCCTACGAATGAAATTGCTGGGTGATATGGCAGATTCAGTTTTAATCTTTTGAGAAACCTCCATATTATTTTCTCACCAAAAGTGTATGAAAGTTTCTTTTCTCCATGTCCTCACCAACATTTGTTTTAATTGAAATTTGTGTTCATTTCTTAATGAAGTTATGAATACACTATTTTAAAGATGCCATTAAATCTTGAAGTTGTTATATTTTAACAAATGAAAATACATTTTAATGTTTTATATATTAGTATTAGTGTAATTCTGACTTCAGCGGGATTGTTGACTCAAGTGTACTTTTTAAACAAATGAAGTACCTGATTTCTCTAGTTATATAATTAATACTTGGCAATATGTATGGCATGGCCATATCAGTTGTTTATTATATTAAGTTGAAAGTAATGAAGTAACATGCTACATATACTCAGGGTAATTGAATTGGTTTTATTTTAAAAATTTTCAGTTTTCTCTTTTCTTCACAGTGATGGAATAGTTTCTCAAAAGTCACCTAACTAATACTGATAAACAGGAAGTCTTTACTGATCTTTTGGGTGCTTACTAATGACTTAGATTGATTTTGGAGATTAACCTTTTCCTTGTAGTAATGCCAATAGTTTCCCCATTATTATGGGTGTTATATTTACATTTTTAACATTGATCAAGTTAGAGACATTTAAAGGTACCTTAATGTTCAAAATATACATATCTATTGCATCAAACCTATATTTAAATTTAAAATACTGCTGAAGTTGTTTTTGTCTTTCTGGTATTGGTTATGAAAGATGTAAAAAAAATTAATCCCTCACATGCATGCTGACAATATTCATCATCCTCACTTTTTTTTTTATCATCCTCATTTCTTAAATAAGGCATAACACATATAAATTTGAACTGTTAGAACTACAGTAGGAACTTACAATTTCATGTATTTTGGTGGAAATGCAACACTACCATCTTTTTATTTTTCAGTGGATGAAGAGGTTCAGCAGACTGGTTTCTTAATAGCTACCTGTCCTTTTGTGGTCCTTATGTGTACTATTATTCAGACTTTAAAAAATTAGATATTAATACAGTACATATGCTGATATGTTACATAATATTATTAACAGTCCTCACAGAGTCCAAGGAGGCACGCTGTAGTTAAACATTTTAATATTTCTGCAATGGCTTTATGAATGGGTCACAGCACAGAAAAAAGTTGAAAGAGCTTTAGATCAGTTTGGATTGGCTGTTGTTGCTGCTAGACTAGTAATGAAAATTTTTGACTCCAGGGTTTTTGAGTTTTCAATTTCAGATAATCCATTGTGAACCTGCAATGTATTGTTACGTCTTATAATATTAATAGTTAATTACTTTTTATAAATAGCTTAACATATAGCAAAATTATGTATGTAGCTAATGTTTATCAATTTTTCTATTTCAGCTTTTATTTCATTCTCCTAAATGTTTTCTTTGTGCAGCTGCTGTATTCTCGAGGATTACTAATTGATCTTCTAATCAAATCTAATGTTAGTCGATATGCAGAGTTCAAAAATATTACCAGGATTCTTGCATTTCGAGAAGGAAAAGTGGAACAGGTACTAAGTTGATCAAGTATTATAACTGAATAGACAGTAAGTTTTGTTTTTTTGGGTTTTTTGGAAGAATAAGCAAATAAGGTTTTTATTTTCCTAACAAAGCAGTAAATACCAGTCCTGAATGGTAATTTACAAATGTTAATGATAAAAGATTTCCTAATTAAGATTTCTAGAGTAAGTTGTCTTATGTTATGTCACAGCTTTATATTGGCGTTGAGAAAGTTTCAGGCAGCACTGCTAGATTTGTGCTGTTACTTGTTCCCAGTTTGGGGTGACATGCTCTTGGCCTTTTAATGGAAAAAAGGAGCAACTTGGCAGAATTAAGTTAGAACAATCATAAATTAATTAGCCCTGTCATCAGCAGAGATCCATTAAAGCTGATGGAAGATAGATTTAAAAAATATTTTTTTAAAGATTTATTTATTTGTACATACAGAACTGGGGTACAGGCCAGAGGCTCAGGGGCGGTGAGAGGCTTCACCAGAGAGTGGGAAGCAGAACAGGCAGATCAACGAAGTACACTGCTGAGGGGAGCAGCAGGCGGGTCAGGAGAGGTCTGCCACGCCATGTGGTCACCTCCCGGGCTGGCGGGAATCGAACTCATGCGGAAGTGGCTTTAGCTTCTCAGTGCTGTGCTTTAACCCGCTGCACCACAAGGGAGGGCCAGAAATATTTATCTTATTGCACTTAAAGGGAAAACATGTGATTTGGAATACTTGGACCACTAGGAAGCAGTTTCTTCACTTAAAATCATGTTTTGCAGGTTCCTTGTTCTAGAGCAGATGTCTTTAATAGCAAACAGCTTACTATGGTAGAAAAGCGAATGCTAATGAAGTTTCTTACATTTTGTATGGAATATGAAGAACATCCAGAAGAATATAAAGGTATTGTTTTTCATTAAATTATGTTCTTAAATTATTTGAGCTCTCTCTCTTTTTTTTAAGATTTATTTATTTATGCATACAGAACTGGGGTACAGGCCAGAGGTGCAGGGGTGGTGAGAGACAGAGTGGGGAGCAGAACAGGCAAATGGACGAAGTACACTGCTGAGGGGAGCAGCGGGCGGGTCAGGAGAGGTCTGCCACGCCATGTGGGTCACCTCCGGGGTGGGATCGAACTCATGCTGAAGTGGCTTTAGCTTCTTAGTGCTGTGCTTTAACCTGCTGCCACCAAGGAGGGCCCTGAACTCTCTTATTTTAATATGTTTATTCTGATGTAGTGGGCTACTGATTTGTCTTTTAAAATACATTACTTCTCTGTGCTTTCCAGTAGGTTAGCTATTAACAACCTATAGTTATTTGAATTTAAATTAACAGTCAATCTGATAGTGATGACTAGTATTAAAACTTTGGTCATTGGTATATTGAGATGTGAAACTATACTACTGAAACTTACATAATTTGGTAAGCCAATGATAAATCAATCAATAATTAGTTAATTAGCTAGATTTAAAATAAAATTTATTTTCTCAGTCACAATGGCCATATATCCTATGCTTAATAGATACACGTGTGGATACAGTACAGCTGGACAAATCAATGAATTTCATTGTTGTTGAAATGCTATGCTGAAGGTTAATTTTAGTCCTGTTAATTAAAATGTATCTGTCAGTTGATTCTTCATTTTTTCCAGGATTACTTTTGTTTGAAATGTTGAGTCACTCATTTTGATTTAAAAAAAAAAGAGGAGTCTAGAGGGTCTCAAGGGAGACCACTGGTCTAGAAGACATGGTTTCTAGTCTTGACCCTGACCTATCTCACTGTGTGATCTGTGATCAGTTATATATATAACAGCTTGTTGAAAATTGAATATACCACTGTAGTATCACAATTTTACTTTTAAGTGCTTTGGGCACTTAAGTTATGAGAATATTTATATATTATTAATAGTTTATTTACAGTTACAAAAAGAAATGCAGCAATATATTTTTTAAAGTAGTTGGTATAATAAATGTCTAGCTTTTGCTATTAAAGCTTCATGTATACTAGGATACTTCTAGATTGTTCGCCATAGTACTGATATGAACTTACATTTTCTCAGGAAATTCTAAAAATTTTTGTTTGTTTATATAAATTGTTTTTGTAAACTTATCTTTTTTGTAGAATTTTATTTTTTACTGCTAGGGATCCAGTTACGTTTTTATGCTTTTGGCTTAAATTAGTGATTTTTAGGGGTTCCTTGTGTTTTGAGGTATGATTATAAGGCAATAAGATTGAGTCTACTGTAGCTACACAGAGGTAAATTTCATTACTTTTTAGTCATAGTTCATTGTTTCTGTTTTATAAAGAAGTTTTTTTTTTTTTAAAGATTTATTTATTTGTGCATACAGAACTGGGGTACAGGCCAGAGGCTCAGGGGCGGTGAGAGGCTTCACCAGAGACAGAGTGGGGAGCAGAACAGGCAGATTGATGAAGTACACTGCTGAGGGGAGCAGCGGGCGGGTCAGGAGAGGTCTGCCACGCCATGTGGTCACCTCTGGGGCAGGCGGGAATCAAACTCATGCGGAAGCGGCTTTAGATTCTCAGTGCTGTGCTTTAACCCGCTGCGCCACCAGGGAGGGCCACTAAAGAAGTTTTTATTAAAAAATTAAGTGTAAATTACATTGTTCTCACCAAAAATCATCATCTGTCTTACTAATTTAATATAACAAGTGCAATTATTGGTGTTATTCTGCAGTTTAAATGATGGCAAAGTGAGCTTGTTGATAACAGTTGTGACATAGTGTGATAATTAGTGAATTCTTTAATGTTTCTCTTTTTAAATTTGTAATCTTAAACAACAATTCATCATTTAAAGCTTAAAAATTGTGCCTTCAATCACATTAGGATAGTGAAATTGTTTCTAGCTTTTTATACCCCCAAACCAACTGTCTGTATTCAAAATATTAATACTATTACCACTTGTATCTTTCACCAAGTGTTTTAAACAGACTTATTTTATTTTTGTGCAAGTGGGAAGCTTCATATTCTGATTTTAATTAATAAATTTTCATTTTTTCATAGCTTATGAGGAGGTTACATTTTCTGAATATTTAAAAACTCAAAAATTAACCCCCAACCTACAATATTTTGTTCTGCATTCAATTGCAATGACATCAGAGACAACCAGCAGTACCTTAGATGGTCTCAAAGCTACCAAAAACTTTCTTCACTGTCTTGGGCGTTATGGCAACACTCCATTTTTGTTTCCACTGTATGGCCAAGGAGAACTCCCTCAGTGTTTCTGCAGGTAAGACAAGCATTGTTCTTTCGTCTCTTCTCTAGGTGATACTTAAACTTCAATAGCAGATGAAAATTATATATGAATTGGGCTTATTCAAGATTTGGTATGCAACATTTGGCAAGCATATAATTTGTTCTGTTTTTAAAATAATCCTTTTGTCTTCCTACTTGCCTATGTACCTTAACTTGTAGATTTAATTTGAACTGCTTTTGAGTTTTATAAAAGAGACTGATACTGTAAATTCCTCTTTTTTTTCCCACTCAGTATTATATTTTAGAGTATAATGTTTGCTGTGTATAATTATAGCTAATTGATTTTCATTGGTATTTAAAATACCATTGTGAATAACCACAATTTATTTTTCGATTTTTAGTTGATGGATACAGGGCATTTCTATTTTGTGATAGTTTTTCTTGCTGTTATTAGAATCCTATGTCTATCTCAGGTACACGTACTCCAGAGTTTCTTTAGGATACATATGTAGGCATATAATTTCTGAGTCCTGCTATATGTAAATATTCATGCAAGAGAGTATCCTTTTATTTCTCCAAAGAATAATGCCAATTTATATCACATTAACCATATGTAAGAATTCCCATGGTTTAATGTTTGCCAACATATGATATCACAATTTTCATATTTTGTCATTCTAACTTATAAAATATTGCATTGTATTTAAAAAAATTTTTAAAGTTCATTGTCTTTTTTCAGAATTCAGATAGTTTCTATATATATAAAACCTTAAGTTATTGAAATGCATTATTATTTATTTATAATTAAATTTATTTTTTTGCATCATTGTTCATTTTCACAGTGTTTGATTTCTCCCCTCAAGTCTCCCCATAATTCTTCCACCACCATATCACCTGTGACCCCATCACCATAATCCCTTGTGGTCTTACCTTCCATTTTGACCCATCTCCCTCCTCCTCCCCTGCTGTATGCCTCAGATTTGTGGTCAACTTACAAGTTTTGTCTTTTTTCCTGACCCTTCATTGGGTGCCTGTATTCCACCTATAAATGAAACCATCTAATATTCTTCTTTTTCCTTCTGACTTATTTCACCTACCATAATCCCTCCCATCTCCATATATGTTGCTGCTGGTGGCATTAGTTTATCTTTTTTGATCACCGACTATTATCTCATTGTCTAAATATATCACATCTTCTTGATTTATTCATCTGTTGTTTCCATATCTTAGCTATTGTAAATAGTGGTGCAATAAACATGGGAGTGCTGGTTTCCCGTTAAAGTACTGTTTTGGGTAGATTCGTAGTAGTGCAATCACTGGATCAGATGGTAGATCCACTTTTAGTGTCTTGAGGAACCTCCACACAGCTTTCCACAGTGACTGGACCAGTTTGCATTCCCACACATAGTGTGAGAGGGTTTCTTTTTCTCCACATCCTCACTAGCATTTGTTGTTTCCAGTTTTTTTTAATGTGGGCCATTCTCACCAGTGTTTGATGGTACCTCATTGTGGTTTTTATTGTATTTCTATGATAATTTAGGAATAACATTTTTCATGTGGCTGTTACCATATTTTTGTCTTTAGAGAAATGTCTAAAATCTGGCCATGTTTTTGATTGGATATTTTAATTTTTTTCATTAAATTATAGGAGTTCTTTATACATTTTACAGATTAACTCCTTGTCAGATAGATGATATAAATATTTTCTCCATTCAACTAGGATGTTTTTTTTCCCTCTTTATGTTAACTCTATCTTTCACTGTGCAGAAACATTTTAGTTGGATGATTCCCATTTGTTTATTTTTGTGTTTGTTTTCTTGCTGTTGGAGTCAAGTTCCCAAAAGTATCCACGAGGCCAATTTTGTTGAGTGTTTTGCCTATGTTTCCTTCTATGTCTTTTATGGTTTCACATGTTACATGAATGTTTCATTAATTCCATTTTGAGATCATTTTTGACTAAGGTGTGAAATGTGATCTGCTTTCATTCTTTTGCATGTGACTGTCCATTTTCCCCAGTATCATTTCTTGAAGAGGTTTGCCTTTCTTCAGTGTATACTGTTAACTTCTTTGTCAATGATTAACTGTCCTCTACTAATACTGGTTTCTTTGATCTCAATTCTGTTCTATTGGTCTGTGTATCTAGTTTTATTCTAGTGCTATGTTATTTTGATTTCTGTAACTTCGTGTAGTTTGAAGCGTGTGATACCACTGCATTTGCATTTGCTCTTTTTCTTTTCACAGTATTGCTTTCGATTATTTGGGGTCTTTTGTGGTTTCATATAAATTTCAGTAATTTCTAATTCTTCGAAGATTCCACTGGATCTTTGATAGGTATTGCATTGAATCTGTATGTTGCTTTAGGTAAGATGGCCATTTTTACAATATTAATTCATTCAATCCATGAGCAGAGAATATCTTCCCATTTCTTTGAGTAACTTCATCTATTTCTTCATCTAATTCTGAGCCATGTCTTACAGTCTTTGTTGTATAGGTCCTTCACCTTCTTTGTTAAGTTTACTCTTAGCCATTTCTTTCTGGTGTGAAAGAAAATAGGATTCTTCTCTTGATTTCTTTCTCCCCCAGTTTGTGGTTTCCATGTAGGAATGCCACTGATTTAAATACTAACTTTTGTAACCTACCACTTTACTGTACCGATTATTTCCAAAAGTTTTAGCAGGCTCTTTAGTGTTTTTTCTTAAGATTTATTTATTTTTGTGTAGACAAATTGTGGTCTAGGTCAGAGGTGTGGGTAGTGAGAGGATTCACTAGAGAACTGGAGAACAGAGCAGCAGATTTACTGAAATACACTGAAGGAGAGCAGTTGATGAGACAGGGCCAGTCTGTTGAGCCATATGTGGCTTAGCTCCCTGGCTACATCATGGTGAGAGCACTGAGACTAAGTGCCAGGGAGGCACTAATCTGTAGTGTTATATAGCTAGACAGATAGATGGTAATGTCTGTAAATAGTGATAGCTTTACTAGGACTTCCAATACTATGCTGAATAGCAGTGATTAAATTGGATATTATTGTCTTGTACCTAACCTTAAATTAGAGGAAATGCTAACTTCAGGTTTTCATAATTGAGTATTGTATTATCTTTATTAATATATTATCAGTATTAATATACATTAACAAACATACCTATTTGTTATCTATCTTTGTGTGCAGCCTTTATTATCTTGATGTATCTTCTCCTATCCCCATCTTTTTTTTTTTAAGATTTATTTATTTATTCATACAGAACTGGGGTACAGGCCAGAGATGTGGAGGGTGAGAGGATTCACCAGGGACAGAGAGGGGAGCAGAACAGGCAGATCGATGAAGTACACTGCTGAGGGGAGCAGCGGGCGGGTCAGGAGAGGTCTGCCACGCCATGTGGTCACGTCCGCGGCAGGCGGGGATCAGACTCATGCGGAAGTGGCTTAAGCTTCTTAGTGTTGTGCTTTAACCTGTTGCGCCACCAGGGAGGGCCTATCCCCATTTTTTAAAGAGCTCCTCATCATTTTTTTCCCATTCACACAGGGGTGTGTGCTTCCATCCTGTTGTCTATCCCTCCTCAGTACTGCCAAGCAAAGGGCAGTATAGTGGTTTGCAGAGCTGCCTTCTTTCTGGGACCACATTCACCAGTTGTTTCTCTCAGCTCACTTTTTGTTTAATGAACCCTGAATCTCCCATTTACTGTTCTGCTGTGATTCATGCAGCTCTCAGATGTCCATGAGGGTTTCCATTTACGCCTCAAGCCACAGGACCCTCTGGGTATAGTGTTCTTCTGGTTTAAATTTCTGGTTATTTTTCCTGGAGGGCAGCAAACAAAGTCCTCGAAGCTTTGATTTTGTAAACTGGTGAAGCTTCTCCCCAAAGTCTTTTTCATCTAATTCTCTAGTATACCTACATTTTCTCAAACTTCTAAACTTACGAGGAACTTCTGGTAGTGTTATCCAGTGTGCCAGATTGTATACACTAGTTCACGGCCCCTGCAAGTACCTATATTTATCTTCCACTTTTGTAAGTATACTTTTACTCCCACATCCTTACTGTCATTTTTTGATGTTCTCTTTTGCCTGTTCATTTTTTCCATATTGACATTTTATATTCTGCAGTTTTTCTCTAATTTATGTTATTGAGTTATTTCCTTGTGCAGTGTTTTCCTTTGATTGAGAGTTAATATTAGACTGCCTTTTGTCTTTGGATATCAGAGGACCTAGCTTAAGTATTTTTTTTCATTAAGAACTGTCTTTATTTCAGACAAAATGCACTAATATTTAGGACCATTTAAAATTTCCCTTTAGGGGACCCTTGCTCAGGGTTTGTTTGTACTCAGTGAGTGTGTGTTTCGGTTGGGGGTGTGTGTTGTGTGCTTCTTTCTCTTTTTACTTCTGTCTCAGGTATGCAGAAACGTTATGTCAATGTAAGAATAAGTTTTTTTGGTAGTAGTCCCTTCCTCCACAGTATCCAGTCCAATGTACTGCTGAAAATTGTTATTGTCAAATATATATTTCTTAAGTGTATGTTTTTATGATCATGGAGGTAAGAATGTTATAAGCTAAAAGATATGCATATCTTTTATATGGATATGCATGTGCATGTATCCAGAAAAGTTCTTCCTTAATTATTTCTGGAATACATATGTATGGACAGAGAGGACTCTGTCCTCCAATAACAGAGGTCCTTCTATCAAAGGTCCTTTGAAACTAAGAGGAAGTTCTATGGCTTTTTTTTTTAGCACGAGAAATTCAGTTGATTTTGATTAGTTAATTCTTGACAAGCTTAAAGTTATGTGCTGTTTTAATTCTTTCAGATTAATTATAAATGAATTATGGAATGAATTATTTCAATATTTAACTGTCATTCGTCTTTCTCCATGTAATAATTCCTGTATAATTTTCTCTGTTATACCAAATGCAGACAGATATAACCAATAAAATTGATAATATGACTTTGTATGACAATAGGCAAAATAATAGCAATATATAATTATCAATACAGGGAATGTTTTTTCTTTTTTTTTAACTTGAAAAGTTTTCTTTTTAATT